AAATGTTCCAGGAGACAGAGAGGCTTCCTGGGGAAACAGAAATGGGAGTCATGACACGGACATCCCAACACCAAAGAACACAGTCCACCACAATTGTTGGTGGGCAAGCGTAGGAGAAAGATTCCCTAATCCCCGGCCAAAGTGGGGTTAGTAGGGACACAACAGGTTACTGAAGACGGATCCCTTCACGTGGCTGACAAGAAGTCGTTTTTAACAAGGATGTGGTGTGAAACCCCCGTGCCAAGCACAGCACCTGACCTATGGTCAAGAAGTGTTTGATAAATTTACTTACTTGACATATATTTATTGATCATTTATTACTTTCCAGGAGTTTTTGTTGGTGAACCCAACAGTGTAAATTCCCTTCCATCATGATGAGATGAGTGAAAGGACATCAATTCAGGCATCTGAGCACCCTGCCGAGGGGCTTGGACCTCCAGACCACCCTGCCTGAGAACTTCCATGAGGCTCAGTCTGGGCTGGGAGGAGACACTGCGCTGGTGGGGCTATCCTAGTGAGAGTGAATCCCTAGTGACGTCTCCATTTCCTCACTCAATCCATCATCCCAAAGCAACATACCCCTGAGAATGGGCCACAAGTGGCAAGAATCAAAAGAAAATAATTAGCATCTTCTTTCTAAACAAGAAGCCAAGGGATTGCAATGCCCAAGAGGCCCCAAACCGTAAATACCCTGCTGTGTCCCTGGTCCGCCGCTCACACACCCCAGGCTGGGGTGGGAACACATGATTTCCCCCCACCGCATCAGACTCACCCCGGCCATCACAGCTGAGGGGTCTCCTCAAGCCGTTCCTGGTGGCTGAGCACTGACCTCAGAATCCTCTGGGGGTCCATGCAGAAGGAGTATGCCAAGGCCATACTCTTGATAATACAATCCTGGTAAGTCAGCCAAGCATGCAGAAGGGGAGTGAGTTGGATGGGATCGGAGAAGAGAAATTTCTTTCTTTCCTTCCTGGATGGAGGGGGAGAGAGAGAGAGAAGTGACTGCGACTAATTCTATATCCTCTGAGTGGACACAATGTACAGGGAGCAGACCCTCTGTAGCTGGACATGTGGAGAAAATGCATTTAGGGTCTGTGGTTGGCGGACACTGGTAAACAGCTTTCTCCAATGCGGTGGTTCTCCAGGTGTGGTCCTGGGTCAGCAGAGCAGCACCCCCTTGGGAACTTCCTAGAAGGGCTGATTCTCAAGCCCCATCCCAGACACTCTGAGACATGGGCACAGCCCCTGGTGTTTTACCAGCCCCCTGGGGACACTGGTGTATGATCAAGGCTGAGAACCACTGCCCTAGTGCAACCAAGTACTTCATGTCAACAACCAAAGACGGTTGCAGCTGTGTCGCCAGGGACTCACAGCAGTACGCGCAGCCCAGAGAAGCCTGGGAATCACCTCGGAGACACCTCAAACCCAGCTCTAAAAAGCCTTGAAAAGTCAGAGAAGTCTCTGCTGCAGATCTCCTGAGGCTATCCTACTAGCCTTCCTAAAAGCCCCCTTTCATCGCCTCTCTTACCTCTAATGGTCCTGCTCCTCACACCAAGTATTTGCACCTCTTCCTTGTTCTTGAGGCACCTTCGGGTCACCGACCACCTTTCTTATACAGACCTACCTATGTACGATGTTCTATTTATTTCAGCAAGCCTTAAATCTTTCCCGAGGACAATGTTCCTTGGACGGCAGGGAAATAAGATTCTAGAGCACTTGGAGTTGAGGAGTTTTACCTAGCACGTGTTGACAGCACAGTTAGCTTTGCAACGCCACAGCTCATAAAGGGGTGTGAGTGGCCGTGCTCAGAGGCAATGGAGTGAGAAAGCAAAAAAGAATCTCAGCTCAGATGAGGGACCGAGCACTTGCAGGCTGAGCGCCCCCAGCATCTCTCTCAGCCCCAGTCTCCTCATCGACGGCTGTGGCCAACACCGTCTCCCTCTCTGAGTTGTTGTGAGACCTACATGCAGAGAAACTGTGGCTCCTGAGAAGGCTCACAAGTGAAAGAAAGGGTAAATGTACCCACTGGGAAATGGGGACTGGGAAAGGCAAACGCAACCAGGCTTTGGCGGTCTTGCACGAATGCAATAAAGACCTGTTCTCTCTGGGCTTTGATACGAAGCTGTTTAGTCCCAATAAATAACGGGGACTTTCTAAATAGGTGCGGAAATAAAGCTAGGGTCACACCCATTAGCGATTTTAAATGGATGACTGAGAAGAGTATCAGGACCTGCCTATGTGCTTGCACTTCTTTAAACCTTACTCTCTCGTATACACTCCTTCAGTCAGTGTTTTTATATTGGCTCATGTCAGCGTGTTACTTTATAAACTCGCTTTTCTTGTCATCATATTAACTCCAGGAATAAGTATCTGGCACACCCTGCTTTCCATCAAGGAGGCATGTGATCACACCTTTGTCGTTTCTATGAAAACAGCGTATCTTTGAATAGTCCAGGCTTTGTCTGGAAGTTTGCGTTTTGAATAAACTTTTTAACAGCTGTTTGACGTGATATAACAATGTATATTTTACAGAGGGTGCAAAACTGTTTCAATTGGCAGTGACAGTTTGCCTAGAACATAAGAAAATATTAAATTTCTTGTCCTGCAAAGCAACTGCTGAGGGCAAATAGGCTTCCAAAACACTGTTAGCTTTAAAGCTCCATAAGTTCTTTTTTTTACTATGAAAAAAAAAGAATTTTGACTCTTCAAAACCTTAACCAACTCTCTAGGTTCATCTATAGACTGTTTCTCCTGAAAATATACTGACTGCTGTCCCAGTACACTGAATGCTCTAGGCTAAAAGGCTACTCACTAGCTTGATGAAACATTTCTGCTTAATTAAGTTGAGTTTTACGTAATCCCAAACCTGATTATGCTGATTGTAGTTGCTACTGCAATTGTATCATCTAAATAATATGTAAATTAACAAGCTACAAGAGAAGGAAGGAAGGAAGGGAGG